GTCAGGCACAAACCCAAGCGACGGCATGAGCCAGCACTGAAATAATGAGAAGCTGATCTACAGCTTTTCCCCTCTGGTTTATTAAATGAATACTCCACATACCACTTCCCACTGACTGGAGACAGAGAGAAAATCCCAGGACAGTAACTCATCATTCTTTCTTCCCCTGAGAAGATTCAAGGCTGTGGCTATGTATGGATGTTGTGAAGTGATAAAGTTGCTGCGGCTTCGCGAGTTACCACGCATCGGCTGAGCTGCGCCGCCTGACCGTGCGCGCTCCCGGCTCCCTGCAACTGGGTGGTAAAACATGTTAGCTCACGACGGGGCAGGAGCAGGTACACCGTCGGCGGGCTCCAGATAAGCATGCTCTGCTGATAAGCAGTGCTTCATTAAGCCCCAGGACTCAACGGCTTGCAAGGTAATCCTTGGCCCAGAAGTCCCTCCTCTTTTCAAGTTGTAGCCCTCAGTCACGGAACAGGAAACCACTCTGGGAAAAGGGTCAACACTGAATTAATTTCTGTGCAGAGCATGGAGTGGAAGAAGGGTCAGGGACCATAGCATAGAGGAGGAATAGCAGAAGGACTGTCCAACCATGTTGCTGAGTACAACTTCAGCATAGCCATACCTGGATGAGGATAATGAAGACGACGCATGGAGATGACTCAGCAATGAAACAAAAGTGCTCTGAATTCTGTTGGGATTAGAGTCCACAGGCACAAGTTATAGCACTATTTGGGCTTTCCCAGCCTGGAGCAAGGCCTTGCCCTGGGCATGGAACACAATCTAACATAAAAAAACCGGTCAGGCCCTGCCTTGGCTCCACTAAGCAGGACCAGGCCTCCTCTTTCGCTTCATACCTCAAAAAAGAGTGGTTTTTGCGAGGCTCCTGCCTCTTGCTACTACCCAGAAGCTGGATGTCTTCTTGCCTGAAGCTCAGTTTAGGCTCAAGCTCCAATCTGAAGCTCAGAAAACCACTCAGTTCTCTGGATCCTTTTTCAGCTCTATCTCCAGCCAGCACTCCTCAGAGTCACTTCATCTCCCATCCCACAGCCAACCTCTGTGCTGAGCCTGACACACAGGATCAATGCATAGAACACACTGACCCTTCCTCCTGCCCATGGAGCTTGGAAATCCATGTCATTTAAGCTTTTTCTGCTCAGTGTTCATAGCTACAAAAACAGCATGCAAACTCCTGACCTTCCAAAACTAAACACTAGGCACCTATGCCCTCTCTCCTCTTGTCCACTCAGATGCTCTTAAGGTGGTAGCTACACCCATTTTGGACAGGTTCTCCTTACCAAGACATTGCCTGTATATTTTGAGAGGTGAGGAGACGTTGTCTGGGGCAAATTTTCTACTTATTTTTCAATCTTCTGAAGTCAGGCAGGTCCCTCTGGTCCCCCCCTGGTCCCAACCAGAAGGTCAGCTCAGTATGCCCATTCCTGGCTACGCTCCTTGAGACCATGACTTGGAGGGCCTCCCATCCAACAGGGCTGCCCGAGGGGGAAGGCATCCAATGACAGTTTGACTGGTCAGCGAAGCACAACTTGTTTGGGTAGTCAAAAGTCTTGGAACAAATGCCTCCAATTCATGTTGGTTTAGATAAAATGACCCCAGCACTGTCACAGGATCTACTGAGCTGACAAAAAACCACGTATGTAGACCCCCCTTGCTTGTAGATCACTCCCTAAACCAGAAGAAAACAGTGGTAGTAATAGTAATAGTAGTAGTATTAAAAAGTTTTCACAGGTCAGAGATGTTTGCTCCTTTCTGGAACAAGGCATGTTGGGGTGCCAAGAGTAAGGTGAGGGATCAGGGCTGCAAATCTGTGGTCACCTGTGGCCTGGGTGACAGAAAGTTGGGGGCATTTTGCAGCTTGCTGCCTTGTGTTTTTTTCCCATCCTGACCTGGCTGACAGCCTCTGCACCCTTACAGACCTGGTGCCTGGCTGGGAGGGAAGAGCAGGCTGGATGTGGGGGTGCCTGGAGTGGGGGACGGGTGGGACAGGGACCACCCCATCCACGTCCATCTGGCATACTGAAGTAGCAAATGAAGGAAAAAGGAGGGGTTGAGTAGAAGAGAAAATCCCAAAGATCCTCGGATAATAAGCACCATTAAGGTTAGTCTGTCTCATGATTGTTTCTTATTAAAAAGAGACTGTACTTTATCTGTGCAGGATATGCTGTTTGGATGAGGGAATTAGCAGAGTGACTGCCTCCATATCATCTAATTAGCAAAAATGTTGATAAGCAGATACAATCACATATGATTAGGATCCTTTTAAAAAGCCACTCCATTAATTAAATAGACAGAAAGGCCGCCTCCAGCCCTCGCGTGCCACTGATTAGAATACAAATATTTACACTAATCTCACCTCCATCAGCCATGGGACACTTTTGAGTATTTTTAGTGACATCAGATTACTATTGATTTTCATCCCCAATGTCAGACCATTTTGTTAGTATCTGAAAGTGCTGCCTTCAGTTTCGGATGCTTTAAATCATGTTAAGGGTTTATCTTAATGACGCTGCTGATAACCACTGTTCAGGTCACTCGTACTTTCTCTTCAAAGAACACAGTCTGGGCTGGTTTTTATTGTTTGTACTTGAGATTTAAGATACGAAAAACATTTCTCATTTCAAAGCCTTGGTTTCTAGGGATGGGGCTGCCAGGCTAGTTTGGGTCTAGTTACTCCATGTGTGCTCGTCTCTCTTATTTCCCTTTCTCCCTGCCTCTCCTCCACCCTTTCTTTATTCCCTGCAAACCCTTTTGGCTCACAGCAGTGGCCTCTCTTGAAGGGCTGCTAATCTCCGACGCCTGCTGCAGGAAGCAGACAGACAGGCAGCCAGCGTCCCACGTTGGGGGATGACAGGAGAAGAACACTCCCTACTTTTTAGATGGGTAGGATGCACTAAATCCAAGACAGATAATCCAGTGTGCCAGCCAATCTCAGACAGGCTCTCTTCATCAAAAGCAAGTATGCGAGGAGATGTTTTGCAAAGCGACAGCAAAAGGCAGAGTAACATCCTTCCTGCATAGCCCTGCTCTCTGCAGTAGATAACTGGGCTTAGGACCCTGCAATGGGCTTTTCTGTCTCCCCATTTTCCTTTCTGGGTAACAGTGAGCAGGAACAGAAGTGGCTCTTGTAATTTCTGCCAAGCATCTGCAAACAGACCATGCTGGCAGTGGCCAGGTGCTGTTGGCACCTTTCAGAAGATTGTGAGTGGTAAGCTTGGATCACCCTCAAGTCCAGTGGACAATCCTAAAAAAAACCACTAGTCAAAATAATCAAACCTCCTTGGTGAAGATTTCAAGCAAAGCTTGAGTGTGAGTGAGGTGTGAAGCCTTAGCTCTACCCTCAGCGTAGAAGAGCACTTTTGGTTGCTTTGGCAGTGCAGAGAGCCCTCTGAGTGCAAATGGGCAGCAGCTTGCTGCTGGGCCCAGATTAACTTTTGCCATTGCTACAGTACAGACAACACCTAGCAGAAAAATAATTCACATGGCACAATGACTGTGTAGTTAAGAAAACCTCCTCTGTGCAAAAGGAGGCAAACCCCAAGATCTTCCCAATGAAGTGAGCCCATAGCACCATAAGCTCCTTCGTTGCTTTGCGCTCCCTGGAAGCTCCAGCCTCCAGACCAGTTTTATGACAGTTTTTACCACAAGAATATGGCAAGTACCTCCACAGTACTGATCCATCACTGACCACTGAGGAAACCAGCAAAACAAAGCCCTTCCCTAACAGACATCAGCTCTGTTGCCTTCTATCCTTCCTTCCTCTGTCATGTTGCTGTCTACAGGCTGACATGGCTGCCCCTTGGCTTCAGGGCCCCACACGTACGATGTCTGCTAGGACACCAGCCAGCCCATACGCTGTGCATATGCTCTTTGGTCTGCCAGGCTCTTGACTCCTTCCCAAAGTCTGGGATAATGGAAACGAGGGCAGTGATCTGCAACACATGCTGCCATTAGTAGGTGTTTACGACACTGTGCTACGGACAGATGAATCCTCCTTACTGGCACTTCCTTGGAGACCTCCTTCACGCAATGATTCCCTGTGAGGATATTGCATTTCCCACAGGAATAGCAAATCCAGGGAACAGAAACAGATGATGATGTCAGACTCGATAATTAAAGTTCAGCTCCTCAGGCTGAACTTGTCTGGGTTGAGTTCATAGGGCATCCCACGCATACACCTCAGGAGAGATATCCAAAACAGAGGCTAAGGTTGTTAATGATCTAAAATCTGGACATTTATTTTGGTACCAACATGAGAGCTAAGCTCTTCTGGAAGTGTTAGGCTTAATTATAAATTCAGAAGAGATCATGGTAGTCATCTAACAATGATTTTATGAAAAGGGTCCACTCTTTATTTTTAAATAAACAACCTCACACAGCTTCAAATGCTGGAACATCTGGTGTTGTCCACTGTGTTGGATTCCTCCCACAGCCTGGCTAGGGCTAAAGGAAGAATACGAGGGAGTCTCCCTATCTATTTCGGTCCTTAATCACATATTTCTCACCAAAGCCAGGTCTTGTAACATGCTTCTAACAAAGCAAGAGGCAGCTAGTTTCCCAGCCTTGCATCTGGCCTTTGGATAAGGAAAGTTCACTCTGCTAGTTCCCACCGCACATTTAGTGTTACAGCAAAGATTTTACAGATTAGCATTGGAATATATATATACACACACTAAAATAGATTATCAATACATGACATATGTGATTAATACTGCATAGTATGGGGTTGTGAGGTTCATCTATAGGTCAACTTCAGTTCAGGGCCTACGATTCAGGCCCTAGCACTTCAGCAGTGACAACCAACTCCATCCTAGAATGAAGTCAGGTCATAGAGGCATAGAACTGCAGAATGGTTTGAGTTGGAAGGGACATTAAAGATCACCTCGTTGCAACCCCCTGCCATGGGCAGGGGCACTTCCCATTAGACCAGGTTGCTCCAAGCCCCGTCCAACTGAGCAATGATTGGCTGAGCCCCCTCTGAGGCACTGAAATGGCATTCTGAAAAGAATCCCAGCAACAAGGTGGAAGCTGAAAAGAAGTTCAAAGAAGTCTCTGAGGCATGTATGATTTTGTTCAATTCTCAGAAACCATCAGTCTATGGAATGTCTCTAAAGGAGAAAAGACCCCATAGAGAAAGAAGTTCCATGGAGTCATAACAGCTCCTTTGTCCCCCTTACAAATTTCGTGACTTTGAGGAGATCTTTAGGAAAATCTTGGAAGGGATGGATCCTGTCATACAAACTTTCTGGGATCCCTTCAGTGACATCATAAATGCTGGTGAAAATCCTCACAGTACAAGTGGAAGAGGAAAAAGCTCCAGCCTGTTTTCTGACTTTAAGAAACTGTTTGCACTGAGGAATTCATCCAGCCCTAGCAAGCGGCTCACCTCCTCCTTCACTGAGAGTACAACTGAGACACACACTGTCAGATCAGCCTCAACCACTACTGAGATGATCAACGTCAAGAAGATCATGTGGAAGATCACCCGGAAGATCACTGAGAATGGGCAGGAGATAATAAAAGAAGACCTGAGGGTTGTGTTGATAAAGCACAAGCATTAACCATAAGCTGTGGGATATACTTTCACTGCCCAACGGATGGGATCTACTACAAGCAGCATTAATAAATGCTGAGTTTATGACTACAACTGATGCAGACTTTTCAGTGGTTGGGAACAAATACTTCGCAGGTATAGAGTTACACTAAACTAAGGAGTAGGACTCTACTAATCCTGTGTAACATCATAGGTAGTGCTTGTTCAGTCAATAGGTATAGTAGATACATGTGAAAGCAACCTTGCTGGTTTGCTGAAGAGACCAAGTTAATACAGCATGAGGAGGCAGGCTGGTTGATGGACAGGTAAGGAAGAGAGCTCTGACAAGCTATAGGTCCTCTTCCAAATCCCTCAGATGCCAACCTTGAAGTCTGCTAGCTGGAAGAGTAAAGACTGAATGATCCTCATACACAATTCTGAGGCTGAGGGAAGAATATCCTACCTTTGGTGTATGAAAAGATGCATATACATTGAAAAAAGCTTTTGTACATGGGCAAGCAAGTGTGGGAGGTTCAATGGGTCATGCAGAGCCTAGAGAAGAGGGACTGGCATGGGAAAGAACAAAGGAATGTAGAAAATGTCATTCCTCAGACTGTAGAAGAAAATTGGAGCTTTCTTCAGAATGCCCTAGAAGTTATGACCAGAGACCCTGATGTAGCTCAGGGGCTGAAAGTGAGCAGGGAGAAGGTGAATTTGGCTCTTAGACTGGGACCGCCTATGGTCCCTTTCTGCTCATTCAGACAAAAAGACCTAAATTCGAACCACGATTCAAACAGATTCCAAGGGGCTGAGTTTAGCTCCCTCTTTGTGCAAAGCTGGACGCAGGGACTTAGATGGTGCTTTACCATCCTTATTGTGTTGCTCACAGCTGCAAGAGCCAGTTCACAATGCATTTCTTGCACAGCCTGCCAGCACGCTGCTTTCATTCTCTACTGAGCTAAAGAACGCGCTCCCCACGTTTCTATCCTTCCCGGCGCTGTCATGAACTGCTGAGCCTTGTTTCTTGCTTGGCCAGATCACCTTAGGCGTTTAAAATCTTACACGCCTCTTTATTTTCAGTCCCACGCTACATCCCCTTGAGTTTCCCAGCTTGCCCTGCCCACTAATGTCTCCCTGGAGACTGGAACTAGCTTTCAGGGACATTTTCACTCTAATCCAGATTGCAGTTGTTGCCTGCATTTGGGCAGGTCTTTGCATCTGTTTCCTCTGCTGTAAAACAGGAATAACAGACTCCCATGCTTTGAAGGAGACTGTGAGGTAGTGGCTAGTAAAGGACTCCAAACATCAAGCAGTAAGTTAAACTAAGCCAGAAAGCTGCCACTCTGAAAGAAGTGCTCCCATTCTCAGTCAATCCACAAGCATAATTCAACTGAATTTGCTAAGAAATGAAAGCTCTCCCAAATTCACAAGTTCTGGTATCGGTTGAGAAGAGCAACTACTACACTACACCCAATACTTAAACTAAGAATAATGATACAGATTGTATATACACTCACCCACATAAAGATGACACACTCTTTAACCAAAACTTTTTACTTTTGAAAAGAAAAATTCAGGTTAAAATCACCTTCCTTAACAACTGATGCCATGCCCAGGTTGGAAAAACAGACCAAAACTGTATTTGTTACATTAAGGGCTGTTAATTCCCTATAAGACCCTCTCTCAGCAAAAAGAAAAAATACAGAGAACTGGCAGTCGTAAGTCCATACTGGGTTCACAGAGGGAGGTTAGCAGTGACAGGAGAGTGCAAACCTCAGTGCAGGGTCAAACCACGTCTGCTGCTCCTCCACAGTTTGGAAGCCACCAGCAGACTTGCAGGCATTGGGACTCCGCGGATTGCAAAGATTAAAAGGGCTTGGTATAGAAAGATTATTTTGGTCAGAGCAAATACAAGTAAATATTTCTGTTGATACTCTCTCTGTGGACAGAGGGCTTCTTGAATTTACCTTATGCTACTTCAGAGGAAGTCCAAGGTAAAAAAAAATGAACAAAACCTAAACACAAAAAAACCCCAAACTGGATCGGAAACTGAAATGGTCTTTGATCAAAATAACATGCTTTGAAATCTGGACCAGAGTTGAATTCCCAGATCCTCAACATTTTCAGCTTGGTAGGGCTAAAACTTTGCTTCAGTCTCATCTCTAATGGGATACTTTTATGTATGCACAGCATTATTTCTTGATCTGAGATAAAGATATGCAGATACACACACATCTTAGACCTGTCCTGCCTTGGGTCAGCAATTCCCTCTCTTGTGTCAATATTTAGGGCAGCATCTAAGAGCAAGAGCTTTCTTGTCCCATCACTAGGTCAGAACTCCTGGAGTAGCTCTAGCAGCTTCACGTACCAAAACCTGCCATTGGGAATATGGATCAGGAAGGGACTCTGCTCACCCAGTGTCGAGCCCAGGACAACCTGCAGATCCCCTTCCACATCTCCCTGCGCACAGAAGACAACCCTAAGGGTCTGGTGGCAAGAGAGCAGGTCAGATTGTGTTAGCAAAGTCCTGCATTCCCACAATGGCAAGAAATACACCAGGTGTGCCCAAAGCACGCATGGAAACTGGTTGTATCTTACAAAAGTTAAATAAACCTCTGCAAACTTTGCCTTGGGAGAAAACCCTTGCCTGTCCCAGGACATGGGATCGGACTAACACTGAGCCTGTCAGTGAAACACTAACACTTTCAAGGAGCTTTGTAAAGCTATTCCTCCTGCCATTTTGCAGCTGCAGCCCCAGAGGAGGCGGCACCAGTTGCCCAGCCACAGCATAACCTGGGACCCTTTGCCTCTCCCAGTTCCAGCTCTCTCTTCCTCTTCCAGAAATTCATCCTCCATCTAAAAAGCTGTATTTTGGGACCTTCTCTGGTCAGTGATGTGTCTTTCAGGTGTGTTCATGGCTGCAGACAACTGCATGTGCAGTTGATCCACTTATGAGGACCACAGGTACCAGGTGCAGAGCGTTTTCTTCAGCTGCCGATGGAAACAAGACCCTCATCCTTTCAGTCACCACCGGGCACAAGGGGCTCATTTCAAGCACCAGCTCTGCTTGAACACATCACACTGGGGAGCAGCTCGAAGCCTCCCATTTGACTGCAGCACCAAACCCAAGCACGTGGTCCTGGTAAGAGCCAGGAGTGAAAGCGGCTTGAGCAGTGCCGCTGAGCGTGGCCGGCAGCCTGCACAAAGAGGCTGAGTCATTATTTTATTAGCAGGCCCCACAACTACTTTAATGTGGGCTTAGACTGCAAAAACAAAAACATACATAAAAGCATTTGGAATTACTTCATAAAATACTAAATCACAATATTAACCGACTGACCTTTGCTCTGTGCAGACCTGCTAATTTTAGCAATTACAGCCAACAACTTGAACATATCAAGTGGGCAACTGTTTAACAATAATGACATCTGCTTGGAAAATCCAATTACGTCTAAACATCTTTAAATCCCCACTAGGGGATACCTGCTTTCTTTTTGCAACTGTTAGTCTCTGCCTAATAGGATTTTAAACTCGCATCCTGCTGCACACTGTGGTGGCAGTGGCCCCTCTCCCTGGAGTGGCAGGCGCCGGGCCACCCGCCCACTAAACAAGACCACCTCTCCGTGGAGTGGCAGCAGCAGGACCCCCAGCCCATTAAGCAGACAGTGAGAGTCTCTCCTCGGACAGTGATGGAAGCAATTTGTTTTTTCAACAGCCTAATCTGATAGAAGGGTGCATTAGCTGGATCCCTTTGCTCCCATCCCCTGCGCAGATACTGGTCCCCTCTGCAGCCCCCCAAGGTTACAGGTGATGGACACAACCAGGGCTGCTCTCTGCAAGGAAGGATCTTGCTACCAAGGCAGGCTTTGCAGCCGTCGGTGCCTTTTGTGGGGTAACTAACATAAGATTTTTTTTTTCTTGCAATGTCCTCAGATTAGTTTTGTTTTCTGGGTTGACCTCTGTTTCTTTCCTCTCTTTTCTCCGTTCATCCTCTAACCCTAGCTACTTAAAAGCCTCTGCCTTGCTCCCTGCTTCTTGGGTGAAACTCCAACATGGAAATCCTCTATAACGGGAATTCCTAAAAGGCAATAGCTACACAGTGGCTTTGGCAACCATACTTCAGGCCTGCAAGTTTTTCTGCCAAGAAATGTGACATTAGAAGTAAATGGGACCAGTGAGAAAGAGTGAACACAACAAAACCACCCAACTCTCCAATAAAGTGCCCCAACGTAGACCAGGAGCCTCTGCCATAAATTCAAAGGTTCTTAATCAGTCCCCAGTTTGGTTGTTTCAACCCTCTGAGCTCCACTGATCGGGCAGCAGCCTCAGCTCCAGGGTTCCACTCCTGATCGCTCCGCACCCTGGACTGTGAGGCTATTGTCAGATATTTAAATTGAGATACAAGAACAGAATATTTCCGTCCCTTCTCCTCCCTCCCTCTCCCTCCCCGGCCAGTCTGGCTCTTTTCTGATGGAGCGTGCAGCAAAATCACAATCACATGTTTGCAGCAGTAGGAGGCCATTGGCATGGAAGTGGCTGTGATGTCACTACAAACATTTCCACCCTATCCCATTTCTCCAGAACAGTCTCCGTTTTTATGACCCCATCCTGAGATCTGCAGGAAATCAAATTGTCCTGATTCTATTTTGAGCGCTGGTGTCATGGCATCAATATATAACGATGTGGTGTCAAGTCGGAGAGGCTCGAGTGCTCTGCCGTGGTGTCGCAGCCGGTTTATTTTGTGCAACTCTACAGGCTGGATCACAGCCCTGCGGATGCCACACTCACCAAGCTGGGACTGCTCGGGACACGTGCGCAGAGCTAACGGGACGAGCTGCAGGGGCAGGTCTGGCTTTGCCCCCTCGGCAGCATCCACACCCTGTTAGAGAGTACCAGCCGGGGCATGATGGTACCAGAGGGCAGAGCAAAGGCTTGGGCATACACGACGTGGGGTTCCTGCAGAGAGGCGCACTGGATGCCAACCAGCCCCCGGAGGCTGCACGCAAGGGAAGAGAAGAGCATGTTTGC